ACACAAGGAGTTCCTTGTGAGTACTTTACCCCCAGACATAGATTTGTCTATATAGGTCCACAATAGCGTATATCCCCCCATATATCGGCACCTTCCGATATTAGGTATTTTAAAGATTTTAACAGAATTTTCAATGTATTTTATTTTTTTGAATATTTTCTAATTCGTTCCAAATGGTGGAGGGTATTCAAAGTTCGGCCCGGCCGAACTTACTGCTTGTTTCTCTTTTTTTCTGACGTATTACCTCTCTTTGTTAAATTCTACCATTTGTATTTTACATTTCTCAGTCTATGAATAAAGATAGAGAAGGAAAGATGTCCGTTCATTTTTATAGAGAAATAGAACGCTTGAAAACGTTCAAAAATTGGAAATTAACCTATCAAAATCATAAAACAATGGCACCAATAGGACTCTTTTATATTGGAGTATTAGACATAACTATTCCAGATTTGAGTGCAGATGTTTGCGGTAGTACAATTGTGAAACCCTTTACATCATTTTTATACCCTGCACCATACTATGGAGGGTATATTAATTTTATCATTCCGTTTGTAACTCCTCGAAATACTCATGTCAGACCCAACAAAGTATATATATTCTTGATCAGCGTAAAATTCTAAGACGATTTAGCCAAGTCCGTCTGTGTGTCTGTCTGTTGTAATCACGCTATCTTTCGAACAAATTGAGATAGAAGGCTAAAATTTTGCACACGTGTATATTTTGCCAGTAGGCGGGTTAAGTTCGTAAATGGGCCATGTAGGTCCAAGAAATCATATAGCCCCCATATAACGGTACCTCCCGATATTCGGAATTTTGATGATTTTTGCGACATTATTCACCGGAATTGTTCCAAATTTGGCACTTGAAGTTCGTAATGGATACTACAGCCTAAGACAGAAAATAATCTATGTAGGTCCACGTCTTCGTATAGCCCCTATATAATTGTACCCCCGATATTCGGTATTTTGATGATTTTAGCGACATTATTTAACGGAATCGTTCCAAATTTGATATTTAAAGTTCGTAGTAGATACTGCAGCACTAAACAGAAAATGGGCCATGTAGGTCCACATCTTCGTATAGCCACCTTATACCGTACCCCCCGATATTCGTTATTTTGATGATTTTAGCAACATTATTTACCGGGATTGTTTAAAATTTCGCATGTGAAGTTCTTAATGGATACTTCAGACCATGCCAGAAAATTGTCTGTGCAGGTCCACGTTTTTGTATAGCCCCCATATAACGGTACCCCCTATATTCGGTGTTTTGAAGATTTTAGCTACATTATAAACAGATTTTTCTTCAAGTTTCGCATTTAAATATTGTAATAACTTATGACAAAAGTTGCCTATGCTGGTCCACGTCATCGTATAGGCATTCGGTATTTTTAGGATTTTAACAGAATTTTTAAGGGATTTTATTTTTATACCCTCCACCATACTATGGTGAGTATATTAATTTTGTCATTCCGTTTGTAACTCCTCGAAATACTCATATCAGACCCAAAAAGATATATATATTCTTGATCAGCGTAAAATTCTAAGACGATTTAGCCATGTCTGTCTGTCTGTCTGTTGTAATCACGCTATCGCCAAGTCCAAGTTATCATATAGCCGCCATATAACGGTACCTCCCGATATTCGGTATTTTAATGATTTTAGCGCATTATTCACCGTTTGTTTCAAGTTTCGAATTTAAATATGGTATTGGCTTATGACAAACAATGTCTATGTAGGCCCACATCGTATACACCTCAATATAACGGCTATATTTTGTATTTTTAAAATTTTAGCAGAATGTTTTAATGATTTTACTTTTGAAAATTTCCAAATTCGTTCCAAATGGTGGAGGGTATTCAGAGTTCGGCCCGGCCGAACTTACTACTTTTTAACTTGTTCTTTATATTCTTTACATTTATAATATTTAATTCCATCAATATTTTTTTTTAAATAAAATTATGTTTTGTTTCATTTAATGTTATTTGTTTATTTCATCGTATATGATGTCTACATTGTAATTCCAATTTTGTTCAATAAATACAAATATTTTTAATAAACTATTAATTGCGCATTTAAATCCAAATTCTGAATGAATAGAACAGTTAGTAAAATAATTTCGATTCGTTCTTAGTTTAACTTTATCTTTTAAATTTACAATATTTGTAGTGATATATTTCTCCAAAAATCATTTTTTATCTCTTTCAACAACAAAAACATATTTGTATTCATTAAGTGGTGCAAGTACGCTTTCAACGTCGTTGTAGTCAACATCTCCATCCATCCAATCTATTCTATTTACATAGTTCTTGCAGTATATATTCGTGTTGCATGCCTCGTCCGTGAGTTCTTTTATATTGAAAGGTGGTCGAAACAACAAATGATTTGGAACATCAGAATCTCATCATTTATAATTCCATATTCTTTCTTATATGGTATTTTCGGTAATCTATCGCGCATATAAACGCCTCTGAAATGTGGTATATACTTTTTCGCAAAATTATATATTTGTTTATGTAAGTGGGCCTTGAGGTAGTTGCTTTATTAGTTTTTTTTTTTTTTTTTTTTGAATTATCGTTCATATATATGCCATAACCTTTTTGTATGGTTTAAATACAGCACTTTTCCCATTGCTTTAGCTTCTATAGTTCTATAGCCAGGTAGATGAAGTTCCACTAGTAAAGAATCGATTAATTTGTTTACAAGTCCTCTTTCTTTAACGTGTTTCTTCCTAATAACATTGACGTTGTTATGAAAAATCATTTTATACTATTTTTAAGTTTACTGGAAACAAAAGTAAAAGATAAATAGACATTGTCAATACAATCACTAATTAGTTGCTAAATGAGATTAGTTGAACAACAAGCTAAACTTCCAGTGCGTAATAAAGTACTTTATTACCGAATAATAGCTGGTTCTTCGAATTGTGGAAAAACTAATGTAATGACAAATTTAATAGACAGTTCAAATGGGTAAAATTCGAAAATGTTTATATATATTCCAAATCTTTATATCCACGGAAACTTGAATGTCTCAAGATACGCATGTCTTCTATCAAGGGTATGCAATTGCTTACATTCAGTAATAATGGGGATGTCGTGCAACCAGAAGAAATAAGACAAAATTCAATAATGATATTCGATGATGTGGCTTATGATAAACAAAATAATATTTAAATCTACTTCAGTATAGGTTGTCATAAGAATGTCGATTCATTTTATTTATGTCAAACATATACGCGGATTCGAAAACATTTATTGCGTGATAATGCAAATATGGTTATATTGTTCAAGCAAGATAATTTATATTTAAAATATATATACAATGATCACGTTGGAAGTGAGATGAGTTTTGAGAAATTCAAAGAATGCTGGAGAGAAAAATATGTATTTCTAACAATCAGCAAATATATTAACTCTGGAAGATGCAGAAAGGGGTTTCATATATTTATACAACCATATTATAAACACCTCTATTATTATAAACACAACCAAGGAAGATAAAATTTGAAACATCTTGTGAGATCCAGAGATGCATTGAAAAGAAAATTTCAAAGCATTAAAAGAGGAGAGGAAGTTAAAACAAACAAACTGGAAAGTACTTTCAAACCCATAATTGAACCAATTCGCAAACTATTAAAATTATCGAATGAAAATGCCTAACATTTCCTCGTACCAAAGAAGGGTGCTTTTGAGTCATATAAAGAGTCATGAGTACACCGGTTAAGAAATTTAAACCAGATATTAATGTAGAACCTAAAATGTTATAGGGGGAAGAAAACGAGACTGAGGGTACAAATGTTAACGATTCAAAAGATGACACATTCTATTTTGATATTGGTGACACCGTTAACCTTTCTCATTTGCATAAAAATAAAATATTGGATACAGTATATGGCCCGCACAAATATATTCATGGAGAATGGAAATTTTGGGATAAACCGTTAAAAGTTGACGACCAGATAATTATTGGTAATCAGCATTTATTTGAATTTCTCTTTTATCAAAACCCTAAAAATTATGATGCCTCAGCATTAGAAATATATAAAAAAAAAATTGCTGGACTCCAATGTTCATAAAGTAAATTATAGACACAATGAACGAATCAAATCCAACAGAGGATATAAATATAAACGCATTATTAAACATTTGATTGAGGATACTCACCGCGGTAAAGGCTTAATGAAAGTAAATCTAGTTAAACCAAATTTTATATACTGGGATGATCCTAATGAATTGATAGAACGATTAACATCAGAACAAGCCAGAAACAATAATCACACAAATGAGATTGTTTCTATTATTAAAGAACTGAAAGAGGAAAACATAATATATTAATATATAAAATATAAAAATTTAAAATAAAATATTGTTACGTTCTTGAATTTTACTTAATCCCGTGTAGACGTTGTTTTATTTCCCAATACAGCTTGTACCAAATAAAACGCGGGTTCTTTCGGATTACGATTATTACAATGATTTTATTCACACAACTTTACTTTGCACTTTACTTTACTCGACGGTTTCAATTCGCGATCTGATTCACAACTGACTAACTGCCTTTCCATTTCCCCTATTTATATGAGCCTCGCCTGTCGCTACAGAAGTTTCTAGACGATCTGGTAACGCCTAGATTACGAACAATCTACCAATGCAACGAACACATACAAACTTACATTGAGTGAACAATAACAACAACACATACAGACTTACATTGAGTGAACAATAACAACAACACATACACAGGCGAGGGGGTAACAAAGAAAGAGGAATTAAGCGATCATCAATGATGACGTTTAACAAGAATTGTACGTCAGCAACAAAATAGAAAATGAAAGAGGAAATGGAAGGATGTAGAAAAATCTATACAGTAGTTGTTGTTGTGAAGTTATTCAAATAAACTGCGTAGTAGAAATTTACGTTACAATTCAAATTCTTAAATTAACGGAATTCATCTAAATTAACTTAAATCTAAAGTTATATTCGTAACATTGCCCCCCGCTTAAGCCTGTTCGTCCCGAATAGGCACAGTTCCCGTTCCGTAGGGGGTCAGCCGCTCCAAATGTACAACTTTCATCTTCGACCTGGGACTGTCGCTCCTCTGGATGCGATAAACGACGTCATTTATTTTCGTGACAATCTTGTAGGGTCCTTCCCAGTGCGTTTGTAATTTGGGGCATAGTCCTTTCTTTCGTTGTGGGTTGAACAATAGTACCAGTTGCCCTTCTTGAAACCCATCGGTATTTGCCGCTCGATCGTACCTTGCCTTCATGCGGTTGCTAACCATTTTTATTCGATATCGGACTGCATCGTGGACTTTACTAAAAGAGTTTTGACTGTCTTCATCTTGGTTCACATCGTCGTTTGGGGTAGCACCGAATATAAAATCGCCAGGTAGCTTTAATTCATTTCCGAACAGAACTTTGGCTGGGGTCCGGGATGTGGAATCATGAATGGCCGATCTATAAGCCAGTAAAAACTTGGGAATATGCTCATCCCAGTCTCGTTGGCCACTGTCCACCACTTTCCGTAGATGTTCTTCCAGGGTGCGATTGAATCTTTCCACCATGCCATCTGATTGTGGATGTAGGGGCGTCGTTCTGGTGTTCTTGATTCCGTAGGAGTCACACATTTCCTTGAAGATCGCTGATTCAAAATTCCTCCCTTGATCGGAATGAACCTCAGATGGAACACCATAGCGACAAATCCAATTTCTGCTGAACACATCCACAATTGTCCTGGCTTCTTGATTTGGGATAGCATAAACCTCTGGCCATTTACTGAAGTAATCCATGACCACTAAGACATACCGGTTCCCAGAGTCGTTTGTTGGGAACGGTCCAGCTACATCCATTGCGATTCTTTCAAAAGGGGCTCCTGAATTATACTGCTGCATGTAGCCTCGACTCTTCCGTGTTGGACCTTTAGCTCTTATGCACCTTTCACAATTGGCGATCCAGTCGGCAATGGATTTTTGACAGCCGACCCAGTAGAATCTCTGCTTTACCTTTTCAGCGGTTTTTGCTATGCCAAGATGTCCTCCACTTGGCCCATCGTGAAACTCCGACAAGACATCTCTTATTTTGGAGTCTGGGACGACGATCAAGTTCCGGTGAGATTTACCGTCCTCACTTTCCCATTTGCGATATAGGCAACCATCTATTATAAGTAGACTGTCCCACTGGGCCCAATAGGATTTTAAAAGAGGGCTTTCGGAGGTAATTTCTTTGCGACTAGGTCGTTTGCCCGTTTCTATGGCCGAAATTACTTTGCCCAGAATGGGATCTCTTCGTTGTTCCGTCGACCAATCTTCACCCGACTCAAATTGCAATAGTCGGACATCAACGATATTCTCTTTATTCTCAGCCTTTGAGCAGTGCTTGCATTCTACTTTGCATGGCCGACGAGACAGGGCATCAGCATTACCGTGTTTTCCGCCTTTTCTGTGCTCGATTCTGAAGTCATAACTCTGGAGCCTCTCGATCCAACGGGCTAGTTGACCTTCCGGATTCTTAAACTGCAGCAACCATTTGAGAGCAGCGTGGTCGGTCCTCAGCAGGAAATGCTGGCCATATAGGTATTTGTGGAAGTGTTTAACGCACACAAGAACAGCAAGCAGCTCTCTCCTCGTCACACAGTAATTCCTCTCAGGTTTCGACAATGTCCGGCTGTAGTACCCGATGACTTTTTCCTGTCCGTCGATTTCCTGGGAAAGGACGCCACCGATGCCGCACGCACTTGCGTCTGTGTCCAGGACAAACTTGCCGCCAGGTATAGGGTATGCCAAAATGGGGGCTCTGCATAGCATGTCTTTGAGCTTTCTGAATGCCTCCTCCTGGTCGTTGCCCCACTGAAACCTCTGGCCTTTTTGCGTCAAACGGTGTAGACAGGCGGCGATGTTGGCAAAATTTTGGACAAATCGACGGTAGTATGTGCAGAGACCCAGAAAGCTTCGCAGCTCATGGAGATTTCGGGGCTGCGGCCAATCTCTGACGGCTTGAATTTTCTCCTTATCCGTCGATATGCCCTCAGGCGTCACGTGGTGCCCCAGGAACTTTACCTCTCGTTGGAAGAGACTGCAGTTCTTTGGGTTCAGCTTGAGGCCTGAAGACGAAAGCTGCTGTAGAACATCCTTTAAGTTCTTGATGTGTTCCTCGAAGTTGCGTCCCATGACTATGATGTCATCCAGATATATGAGGCACGACTTCCACTGCAGCCCTTTTAACACACGCTCCATCAGCCTTTCAAATGTAGCCGGGGCGTTGCAGAGTCCGAATGGCATGACATTGAACTGCCAGAGACCCCCATTTACGCCAAACGCTGTTTTCTCCTTATCTTTCTCGGCGATCTCTACTTGCCAGTACCCACTCTGCAGGTCGAGGGTGGAGAACCATGACGTCACGGCTAATGTGTCCAATGTGTCGTCGATTCTTGGGAGCGGATAGCTGTCTTTCTTGGTGACATCATTCAACTTTCTGTAGTCCACACAAAATCGGGTGCTTCCGTCTTTCTTCTTGACCAAGACCACTGAGGAGCACCATGGACTTGACGATGGTTCTATTACACCACTCTTTTCCATTTCACTTATCAGCTTCTGAACCTCGTCTCTTTTTGCCAGGGGAACACTTCTTGGAGGCTGTTTAATGGGTCTCGCGTCTGCTGTATTGATTTCATGCTTCACCACTGATGTTCTTCCTTGGTGCTCTTTTGTCAACGCAAAGGTAGAGGCATATTTCCATAATAGCTGCTTAGCCTTGTTCCTCTCGGAAGGTGATAATTGGTGTGTCCACTCTTTTATGTAGCCGTCGAGGTGCTTCTTCTCCATGGCAGCTGGCTTTTCGGTGCTAGTTTCCAAATTAACTACAGCTTCAGCTGGTGTGCATTGTCCAACATCGGAAAATTGGCAAATTTGCTCTTGCTTGTTTGACAGGTTCAAAACTCTAACAGGAATTAATCCGTCCTTGTTGCTTTTCACCAGGGCATTCGCTATTAGGATGTTACTGTTTCTGTTTTCTGCTGGTTCCACCACCCACAACTTCTCGGCTCCACAATCTCCATTCATTGGTACCCATATTATTGCTTCGGCACAGGGCGGTATTATCTTTGGATGGTCCGTGGTCAGACGTCTAATGGGTGTACTTTCATCGTAGCCCACGTTTAACGGAATTTCGACGTTAGACCAGGTCATCACACGTTCTTTCATATCCAGATTGATACCAAAGGCAATCATAAAATCTGCGCCTATTATCACTTCGTCTACGATATCGGCAACTATAAACTCGTAATTCTCCGATTTATTGGCAATAGTTAGTCTCAGGGTAATCTTGCCGTGTACTGCCGCGGGCTCCCCCGTTGCTGTGCGCAGTCTGACTCCATTAAGTTGCGTTATTTTTCCCTTTACCAGATCTGATCTTACGATGGACTTTGATGCGCCAGTATCTAACGTCAGAACTCGCTTATCACCATTGATGTACCCAGTTGTTGTTAGGTTGTGACTTTCCTGTTGTACTATTGCTATGGAGATTGTGGGGCCATCGTCGATGGGAGCCAGTTCATGCCCCGCTGGACTGGCTCGATTTAGTTTAACTGTGACTCATTGGTGGACTGTTGGGCCATTCTTCTACCATCTTTCGTTGGAGGTGGTGACGATGACCTGGATCGTTTGCGCTTAGCTCTGCATTCGCGCGAAATATGACCTGCTTTATCGCAGTTGTAGCATCTAACCCTGGGCTTAGTCATCCCAACTAACTTTGTCTCTTCTATTACCCGCCTCATGGCGTCTTCGATCGAGTTAACGAGAGATTTGGGTTCGCAACCTTCGGTCTCCAGTTGGCGAATCTTGTGGGTCTGGGGCTTAACAACTATTCTTGCCGTCTCTTGGGCAAGGGCAAACGACACAGTTTCGGAAAATGATGCTTTTGGTGACGCATATGTTGCATACTTAATCTCAGGGTCACGTATGCCATTCACAAAGGTTTCGATTTTCATACGGTCCAGCAATGGGTGATCCTCTCCTGGATACGTCATTAGCACCAAAAGTTCCACCTCAGCTGCAAAGTCTTGTAACGTCTCGTTTGCCCTCTGTACTCTTCCCCTTAATTCCATAAGGTAGATGTTTCGTTTATGTTCGCCACCGTACTTACGTTCCAGTGCAGCAATAACATCTTCATAGTTGTTTCTAGAAGCGACAGGAATACTCTGTATAACATCAGCAGCACTGCCCTTCAATGCCAGAAGTAGTGCAACCGCTTTGTCGCTGTCGTTCCACGAATTTCTAGAAGCCACTGTCTCAAACTGTAACTTGAAAACATTGAATGACGTAGAGCCGTCGAATACAGGAGGTTTGATTTTTAGTGTGTTATCAGGAACTCGCACCGGACCACCTTTGATTTCCAGTTCCGAAATTTTCTTCTCCAGATTTGTAACCCTATGGTCGTGGGACAGAAATTTCTCGTCAACCGACTGCACTTTCTTATCCAACTCTTTAATTTGGACCTCCACGGTTTCCACTCTCCTTCCAATAACTTCTGTAATGTACTCGAGTTTCTCGTTCGTTATTCTCGAATTTTCTTCGAACCTTCTGAAATTTTCCTCAAACATTTTGGCTAGCATTTCTCTGAAATCGTCACCCCTGGCAGCTACTGACGAGACTTCCCCACCGTTGGATTCGCCCATTTCCGATAAATCCACTTCATCCTTACTGTCAAACTCATATGTATCGATGTTCATACCACGGCGCTCGAACTCATCCAACAGACGTTTTTGTAGTTCAGCCTTGTTGCCAGTAGAGGACAATTCCAATTTATTAAGTTCCTTCTTCAAGTCTTCCACTCGTAGATCCTTAAACTTCATCGTAGTATTATCGTAATCTCACTTCCGACACCAATTGTTACGTTCTTGGATTTTACTTAATCCCGTGTAGACGTTGTTTTATTTCCCAATACAGCTTGTACCAAATAAAACGCGGGTTCTTTCGGATTACGATTATTACAATGATTTTATTCACACAACTTTACTTTGCACTTTACTTTACTCGACGGTTTCAATTCGCGATCTGATTCACAACTGACTAACTGCCTTTCCATTTCCCCTATTTATATGAGCCTCGCCTGTCGCTACAGAAGTTTCTAGACGATCTGGTAACGCCTAGATTACGAACAATCTACCAATGCAACGAACACATACAAACTTACATTGAGTGAACAATAACAACAACACATACAGACTTACATTGAGTGAACAATAACAACAACACATACACAGGCGAGGGGGTAACAAAGAAAGAGGAATTAAGCGATCATCAATGATGACGTTTAACAAGAATTGTACGTCAGCAACAAAATAGAAAATGAAAGAGTAAATGGAAGGATGTAGAAAAATCTATACAGTAGTTGTTGTTGTGAAGTTATTCAAATAAACTGCGTAGTAGAAATTTACGTTACAATTCAAATTCTTAAATTAACGGAATTCATCTAAATTAACTTAAATCTAAAGTTATATTCGTAACAATATATTAAAAATCGATGAGAGTTAATGAGGTTTGTCATCATTATAATTTAAAGTATACCTCAGCCACACTAAAAGGAAATGTTTCGAGAGTACTGGGAATCAATATTGACGAAGATAACAATCTGTATATACAAAATAAGAGGATTAAAAGCCTTGCACCCCCGACAGAAGGATCAGACGCGGTCAAGCAAGCATATGTACATTCGCAAAACAAGAACTTGCAAGAAATATCAAAGAAAATTTTATTTCAAGAATGTTCTGATATTCGACAAGAAATATCACATTTGAAACACTCGCTCAACGAACTTTATAACAATTTATCAAAAAATACATTCACTCACCCACTGTGAGATATTAATCTGATTGAAATATGGAAAACCGAGAATTAGTGAATGAGCTCCACACTCAAGCCCGAAGAAAATTTAAACGACGTAGGTTCATTGTGAAGGGAATTCACGATCTTTGGCAATCTGATTTAGTTGAAATGGGTAGTTATTCCACAGAAAAAGGGGTACTGGTTTATGCATACAGTTATTGATACTTTGTCCAAATATGCATGGGCTGAAGCCCTTAAATCTAAGAAGGTCTTGGAAGTTTGTGCAGCATTTGAAAAAGTATTTAAAGCCGGAAGAATTCCCAAGAATTTACAAACCGATTTTTTAATAAAACACTTGAGGAGGACTCGATGATGATATTATAGAAATACCAATAGGATCCTATGACTTACAAGATATAGCAGACTTTTTGGAATCTGAGTACAGATCTATTCAGATAAATAGATCTATTAACATTAAAGCTAATAATAGTACATTACAAGTAGAAATTACATCATCTCATGATGCTATTTATTTTAATAAGGAAAAATATATATCTATACTATTTGGTTTCACGGAAACTGTTTTGAATTCGGGGAAGAAACATATCTCAAACCTTCCCGAAAATATTCTGAAAGTGAATACCATACAACTACAATGTAATACTGTAACAGGGTCATTTATGAATCATTCACCTGCACATATTCTGCATGAATTTTCTCTAGATGTTCCACCAGCATATAAATTATATAATAAAATATTTGAGGAACTCATGCATAAATATAGAATAGACCATTATTCTACATAAGTGTATTGAAAGAATCAATAGTTGAACGATTCAATAGAACTCTTAAAGGAATGATGTGGAAGGAGTTAAGTTGTAATGAGAATTATCATTGGATTAAAATCTATAAAGACTTATTAGAAAAATATAATAGAACGCCTCAAAGAACTATAAAAATGGCACCTATACAAGTCAATTCCTCAAATGAGAAGACACTACTTGAAACTGTTTATAATCATATAAAAATATTACGAAAATCTCAGCTTCATGTGGGTGATCACGTACGCATCAGTAAATACAAACATCAATTTGAAAAGGGGTATACGCCGAACTGGGCAACTGAAATATATAAAATAAGAACCATAAGAATAACAAATCATACAACATACTTGCCAAGAGATTTAGAAGGAAACCCAAGCAGAACTTTTATTTACAAAATATCCAAAGGGCAATAAAGTGTTTGTAAAATGGTTAGGATTTTCAAACCTACATAATTCGTAAATAAATAAGAATGATGTATTGTAAGCTTTTTTTATTAAAAATAAAAAGCATAAAAATGCAAGTACATACTGTTTTTACTTACTACAAGTTAGAATCTTGCAATGTCAAAAACATTTACCTTGACGGGAAGAAAATAAATTTTATGCTCGAGTTATTCACCACCCATTGCATTAAATGATGTTGAAAATTGGTGTGCTTTAATTGATTTCCAATCATATATCTCAAGACCTAATTTGGATGACGATAATAATTTATTCATATCGGTGATGATAGTATAGAAATACCAATAGGATCCCATGACTTACAAGATATAGCAGGCTCTTTGGAAGCTGAGTACAGATCTATTCATATAAATAGATCTATTAACATTAAAGCTTATAATAGTACATTACAAGTAGAAATTACATCCACTCATGATGTTATTTATTTTAATAAGGGAAAAATCTATATCTAAGCTATTTGGTTTCACGGAAACTGTTTTGGATTCGGGGAAGAAACCTTCCCGTAAATATTCTGAAAGTGAATACCATACAACTACAATGTAATATTGTAACAGGGTCATTTATGAATAATTCACCTGCACATATTCTGCATGAATTTTCTCTAGATGTTCCACCAGGATATAAATTAGATAAGAGACCGTTGAACCTTATTTATTTGCCGGTGAACGTCAAGGAAATAAGTCGTCTAGAAATAATAATTCTAGATCAAGAAGGACGATTAATAAACTTTCGAAGAGTTAATTACACTTCGAATTCATATAAGACCAAGGCAAATATGATTATCTATAATATATATAATAATAAACAATCCACTAAAGACATTCAACATAAAGTTGTCAAACCGACAAGACCTTTCCTAACTAAAGAAAATAAAGAATTTTAAAATTACTTAAATTAAAATTAAAACCCAATGTCTGAAACACATAACATAAATGATCGACGCTTTTCCGATGAGAATATTGTAAAGCGTGATTATCATAGCTACGTTCCATATATCCAATCTTTCAAAAATAATGATTATATATGCATAAGCGTACAAAATCAAGATCTTTACATATTACCGTCGGAAAGCTACATGTACATTGAAGGTTATTTAAGAAAAGCAAATGGAGAAATTTTGCCAAACTCTAGACTTAGGAATAATTGTGTGGGGCATATGTTTGATGAAATTCGACATGAACTGAATGATGTTGAGATTGATCGCTCACGTTATCTGGGAATGGCAACAAAAATTAAAAACTTGCTTTCCCTAAATGCACCATAAAGCAATGTCATGAGAAATGCGTGATGGAATGTAGATGGCGATGTTGCTACCAACTCTTTTAACTTTTGCGTTCCCTTAAATCGACTGCATGGATTTGCAGAAGACTTTAACAAAGTAATTTGTAACAGAAACATGATTTGATTCTCTTGCGGAGTGCTAATGACACAAATGTGTGTTCTCAACTGACTCGAAAGAAGATATTCGACTAATAATTACAAACATTATGTGGAAAGTTCAATATATTCGTCTGACTATAGAAAAATTAGCTTTTTGAAAACTATTAAAGATGAGAAAATTTTACCTACAGCATTTCGAAGTTGGGACTGCTATTTTAATCTCACGATTGTTTTTGGAAGGAAAAATACCTGGAATGTTAAATTATCGACAAATCATGAAAGGCCACGTTATGTCGCTTTAGTTTTCGAAAAGGACAACCAATTTCTTCATTGTGGTCTTCAATATATTAAATATTATAAAACAACAATAAAGGGATAAAGCCTGACCATTTTGCAACAACAAAATACTACGGTATACCGAACAAACAAGCCACACTGTTCTATTAATAGACAAGGCACGGTCGACGAAGGGGTTTTTGTTGTAACAGACAAAACCAACATTTATGCTACTTCGTTCAGGTTGAACGAAAGCATAACAATTGGAGAAAGATGTAAATGTTTACAAGTGCGGTTGTAAGATTTAGAAGACTTTCCAAAAGAATTTTAGTTTTATTT